ATTAACTGTACTGCTTCTTGTTTGAAATGTAATAAACTACTCTTCTGATTTGAATTCAGACATTTCATATTTTAATGACTTAATGGACATAAGAATGAAATCCATAGTTCTATGAATAAATTTTGTATATACTTTTTTTGAGATATAAAGATGCTAATTTTATTTTATTTTATTTTCAGCATATTATGGGGGCACAAATTTTAAGGTTTCAAATAATGCCCTTACCCTCCTCCCCCCACAAGTCTGAGCTTCAAGTGTGACCATCCCCTAGACGGTGCACATCTCACTCATTATGTATATACCCGCCTCCCTCTCCCCTCCCACGTGCCCAATACCCTGTTACTATAGTACCTATGTGTCCACTTAGGTGCTGCTCAGTTAATACCAGTTTGCTGGTGAGTATATGTGGTGCTTGTTTTTCCATTCTTGGGATACTTTACTTAGTAGTATGGGTTCCAGTTCTATCCAGGAAAATACAAGATGTGCTATATCACCATTGTTTCTTAGAGCTGAATAGTACTCCATGGTATACATATACCACATTTTATTAATCCACTCATGAATTGATGGGCACTTGGGTTGTTTCTACAGCTTTGTAATTGTGAATTGTGCTGCTATAAGCATTCGAGTGCAGATGTCTTTTTTGTAGACTGTCATTTGATCTTTTGGGTAGATGCCCAGTAATAGGATTGCTAGAACAAATGGTAGATCTACTTGTATTGCTTTAAGGTATCTCCATATTGCTTCCAATAGAAGTTGGACTAGTTTGCAGTCCCACCAGCAGTGTAGAAGTGTTCCTATCTCTCCACATCCACACCAACATCTATTGTTTTGGGACTTTTTGATAAAGGCCATTCTTACTGGAAATACGTGATATCTCATTGTAGTTTTTTAACCATACCTATTGTTTATATTTTTTCAGTTTCTCCCTATCTTCTCAACTTAATATAAAAAAAATATGTTTTATCTATTAATAGATCTGCCTAATTATCAGAGAAGAGTATTGGAGTTTCATATTGCAACTGCATATTTCTCAGATTCTTCCCTTCCTAGTTATGTTTGCTTTAGTGGCTCTCTACTTTACTGAATACCAATTAACAACAATATATTTTTGCTTTTGACTTTTAACATTACATATAGTAATGACTTTCTTTTCCTGTTAGTGTTTTTAGCTACAAGTTTCTTATTAATTTAATTTCATTGTTTATAAATATTGTCATTCCTGATTGATTTAAGTTTACATATTCCTATTATGACTTCATCCATGCCTTCTTTTTCAGTCTTGGTTTCCAATCATTTATTGTTACCTTGTTTTTGGTGGTTTTTTTTTAGAGAGTGTGTGTGTGTGTGTGTGTGTGTGTGTGTGTGTGTATGGAAAACTGCATATAGGCTTGTTTTAACTTTTAAACTCAATCTAATTGGCTCTTCTAATGGGAGAATTAAATCTATTCACATCTAGTCTATGGCTGATATAACTGTTCCATCTTACTCTATAGTGACTTATTGCAAAGCATGGTGATATAATTAATAATAACACATTGTATATTTTATAATTGCTTAAAAGAGTATATTTTAAATATTGTCACCACAAAAATTAATGAGTATGTGAGGCGATGGATTTAATTAGCTTGATTTAATCATTCCACAATGTAAACATAGATAAAAACATCACATTGTACCCTAAAAATATATACAAATTTCATTATCAATTAAAAATAAAATTTAAATAAATAGGTCCATTTAAAATTATATTGTTCTCTTTCTCCTTTGTCCTATTTTTGCTTATTTTATCAAGTTTCTGTTCTTTTCATCTTTCATCTTTATCTCACTTTTTCTTCCATGCATGTAACTGTATTTTCCTATTCTTTTAATTGACATTTATGCTTCTATTATTATTTGTAAGCAAGATACCTACCATTTCTCCCACAGATGTACACTCTTAACCCTTCTAACTCTCCTAAAATTTAATATTCTAGAATGACTTAGTATTAAAATTTAATTAAAATTTAAATTTAATATTCTAGAATGACTTATTCTAGAATGACTTTCTCTCCTCTCCTTTTGCTCCATCCCCACAAGATCTTAAAAGTTTTACCTCTTATTTTTGTACCCATTCCTCCCCAAACTCCTAGGTTTTGCTCAGTTATTACAAATCCCCTTATTCTGTGTCCTTTTGGTTTTAAGAAACCTTATTTAGTACTTAAATTGTATATTATCCAGGCACATTCTACTTATCCATTAAATGTACATGTACTAACCACTCCCCACCATGTGTCTTTCTGTATGTTCTCCAATCTGAAGGCCTCAGGCACAGTTCATTTGTTGGGTGTCTAGAATATTGTTTCAAGTATTTTTGTCAAGTGGGGTTATTTGAACCTGAGATTACTGAATGTTTGCATAGCAATGAATATTTTTCTTTCACACTAAGGTGAATAAGATCTTGAATGAGTATCAAATATTGGGCGATATCCCCTCTCCCATCTTTTTCAGTAAAGGAGGATGCCATGCTACTATTTTTGAGCTTTCATCATTGGAGATTAGAATCCTAAAGACAAGCTGACCTCCCATACCACTCCAGTCATATCAGTTAGAATTAGGTTTGGCTGTTAGTCACAGAAAACCCAGAAAAAGAAGTGAACAAGATAGAATTTATTAGTCCTAATGTAGAATACCAGGGCTATAAATTTTTCAGGTCAGGTAACCTATAACTCTGTGGTATTAGGTATTCAGATTTCTTCTGTTTTACTGCTTCTTTGTGCTTGACTTTCATTCCAAATCAGCTCATGGTTCAAGATGGAAGCCAGTAGAAATATGCAGCAATATGCAAAATGTGGACTGCTGCTTCCCTAGTAAGGACATTTCTGCATGAAACATACTGGCCAGCTTGTAGCTGACCTGATGGCTGGGAAATGTCTTTATTCTGGGCAACCATGTAGTGATTAATAATTTGGGGTCCAAGAAGGGAAGAGTTAACATTGGGATGAGCAGGCTCTGACACTTTATAATAGTTTGTTCCTTTTGCCTAGAAGTCTATATTTTTTCTTCTTAGACATTTATGGAGGTTTCTTATCAATTAGGTGTATAGCTTGGAAAGCCCTCCCAATGAAATGTATGTCTTTAATCACTCAGGAATATTTATTTTCAATATTTATTTTCAAAAAGTAAGAGGAAAAAGGGAACATTTTTCCTATGTGAATATTTGCATTCCTCTCTACTTAATCTATTATTTAAGTTCCCTATTTCCTATGTTTTATTAGAGAACTATATTTCATTTTTTGACTTTATAATAAATGATATTTGTTCATGATAAAATTAATTAAGCATAAATAAGAATTTAAAATAAAAATTAAAAAATAAAACATTTTCAATATCCTCTTCTTACTCCCAGTCCCATTTATAGAGTTAAGTTTCATATGTTTCCTTGTGAAATTTTAGCAAACATATCAATAATATATCCACACGCATATCCACACATATACTCTTTTTTATACAAATGAGAATATTCACTTCTATTTCTTGCTTTTTGTCTTTTTTAACTTAATAATACATTTTGTATTTTAATTTTTTAATGACTTAATTCAATTCAATTTTAGAGTCAATTTATAACCACTTCCCTATTATTTGATATTTATGTTTTCAATGTTATACTATTACAAATGCAGTAGATTCATTTTTCTGCATTCCTCTGCAAGTATGTTAGTAAGAGAAATTTTAACCAGATAGTTGCTAAATCACAGTGTGAGTATGCTCCCTTTTTTGACATAATTTATAAAATTATTTTTTTTCTTTCTATAGGCATGTTAGTAATAAATTTGTAAACTGCTTGAATCCAGGAATCACCCATTTACTTCTTTGTGTATTTCATGTAGTTAGAAGATATTCAGTAAATATTTGGTATTTTGTTTTGTTATTTCCTAATTTTTATTAATCTCTATATATCATTTTCATTTAATTTCCAATTAAGGGCAAACATTATATTTATACTGATTTCTCAATGATATGGAGAACTTTTTAAAGATACTTTTAATGCCATTAGATTATAAATTTTAATTAACATTGTATAAAAATAGACATAGACAAAAGTGATATTATAGGACTTAAATTTTGAAGAATCAGTCTTAATTTCATTTTTCATGTCTCGTCATATGTATCTGACCAGAGAATGTCTATTGGCCATTTCTGAACTTTAAAATAAAGTCAAACAAAAATATATAGCAGGAACAAGGAGAAAAATAAAATCAAATCCTTTTTACTTTCCATTTTGTATCACTCTACACTATCAGCATGTAGCTTTTGTTCAGGTTTTATAAACTAAAATACACAAAATTTGAGTTGAATGCCAGTCATTATTGCTAGCAAAATGAAGTCTGATGTACACAGCTGTGTTTAAAAGAATGATATTGTTTATAATGAAATGTTTTAGATATTAGAGTGTTTTGGTAGTTTAGTAGAAATGTTCTCCTTGAAAAAGTTTACACTTTTTTTCAGAATAATTATTGATGTAAAGTGAATTCTAATTATCAAAACAGATAAATCATTTGTGGGCTTATTAAAGCAAAGCTATTAAAGAAAAAAAGAACCCTCTTTTAACAACCAGGTGTTAAAATTATACATAATCTCAATAAGCCATTATGGTAATATGTCTAAACTATCCAAATCAAATAGGAAATTTAAGTAAATAATGAAATATGTCCAAAAATAAAATGAGAGCCTACCTGGACTAAATAAGGAAAAAATATATCACAACATTTAGAAAATATGAAAAAAAAATTAAGTTCTCAGCAAAAGGGGAAACTAATTCATCTTTCAATGCACTACTGATATTTAACTCCCTTTATATTATAATTTTTATTGCTCTCCACATTGAGTAGTCTATTGATGAAATCTATGCAACTGCATTCAAATTACATACACTATGCAATGATGAAGTTACATTTAAAATTTTATTTAATTATGTCTATAAATTTTTAATAATTTTCAATAATTTGACAGGAGAGGCAATATAGCAGCTCTCTCTGAAAGCAAACTCTTCAAATGAGTAATTGCTATTTGATTTTTCTGTGGGAAAACCAACCTAAAGTAACAATCTTTGTTGATGCTTGCTCAGATCAGGTGGACCAAAACAGCAGGAAGTGCCTCTGACAGATTCCAAGACTCAAGTGTCTTCAATGAGACTTTGAGGATTACAAATATTCAGCGACACCAAGGAGGCCGGTATTACTGTAAAGCAGAGAATGGCTTGGGGTCCCCAGCGATAAAGTCAATCAGAGTGGATGTGTACTGTAAGTAAATTTCCCAGAAAATTTTGATTAAGCCTAGTATGAGTTTCTTTTGTCCTACAACTATAGTTTTCTCAAAAACCATAAATAGAGTTCTGTTTAGTTCAGAATGAAAAATGTATAAGATAATATCTCCTTTAATACATTCTTGAAAAAAGAAATCTTTAATAACAATGCCATAATTTGTATGATATAATAATACATGTTCATCATAGGAAATTTAGGAAATTTAGAAATATTAAAAAGAAGACAATAAATATTCCTGGTACTCCCACCAATAACTGCTAGTGTTTTAATGTATTTACTTTTTATCTTTATATATAAATATATACATGCATTTCTATATTTTTATGAAAAAGAGTCATGCTATATATACTTTTAACTTGTGTTTGTTAATTTTACCTGTGTGTGAATACAGCTATACTTATTTTTTAATATGCATTATGTGAGCAGAGAAATCTGAATTAGTTTGTGAATGGTGAAAAATCTCTGTGTATAGTCTGTTTTTGGATCCAACCCTATTGAAAGTAATCAACACCAACCCTGAGCAGTGCTATGCCACCTAAAAAGTGTTTGTTGATTTGTTTTCATTTTTAGTTTCATTCTCGTACTTTTTGCTCTTGGCAAATATATTAAAATCTTGGTCTCCTTACTTTCTTGCCCACCAAAACAAAGCAATGGCTTACAATTACTTTGGACTTTTTCACAGATTTATCACTCTATTAGGTTTTTGCAAGAACTTACATTTTATTTTTTAAGTCTCTAATATTGGAATATAAGATATTATATCTTTTTCTCTCTTTAAAGTAATTCAGACATAAGTAACAAGTGAAGAGTTTCTGTTTTTCTGCCTAACTTCCTTTCTTTCCCTATTTCCTTTCTTTTAGTGTAGGGCAGGTGTTGCATAGGTAGGATGGATCTTGAAATTACATATGGTCCATTTATCTGACTTCATGTTGAGTCTCATTTAGTTATTCAGATGACAGAGAAGTGGGTTATCAAGCTGCATTTGTGATTTGCCTTCCATATTTAGGTACTTGCTTCTCTCCTGGAAAGGATTAGAGAAAAGTCCCATGATCCATTTTCTCCTGTATCTTCTAGCCCTTGAGGCACCTCCTGACCTCATTTAGGCACCTTCATCCCATGCACCACACTTTCCATATAATTATGGGTGCACAGGTTGACCATACCTGTATACTTCCTAACAATAATATAGTTCCTGGTCTCTCTTTTCTTGACTAAGTATTTCTAGTGTTTTTGTTCATATACAATTTTCAATTAAACTAAATTTAATTTAAATGAATTCAATATGTCTATAATGTAACTTTGTATTGTACATACATACCTCTGCTTTATTTGTTATTGTAGTTTAGGTCACAAAGTTTTAAAATGTACCTCTTTAATACCTTAAACACAATTCTAAAATCTAAAAAGTTCTGAAAATGAAAGGGTATGTTTTGTTTTATTGTCTCTTTTTTGTGTGTGACTTTTGTAAACAAACAAAACCTAAGGTGAACTAGTTTGGTGGCAAAATCTAACCTGAAATGACTTGAATAGAAAAATAGAAAATAAATTTATACTATTTATTTACCCTATTTTGTAGGAATAATCACATATTTTGGTCAGGAAATGTATTTGGTTACACATATAGCTATAGTTCCTGTTGGGTGTGTTATCTGATACACGTACTATATTATTTTCTAAAATCTGAAAATTTCTGAAACACATTCCCCAGAGGTTTTGACTATGGGATTGTGAGCTACATTGCTACCACAATAGGTTTAATAATTTTTTTAAAAAGTATTACTGGGCTAAAAAATTTAATACAAAGTGTGGAAATCACATTTTCCAAGACTTAAAAAAAAATATTTTCCCCTTTTCCTTTTACTACAAAACCTTTCCAGTGCTATTCTGCACTATCCTTACTTCTTTCTGTTTGTTCATATTTTTTGCTTTCCAGGCTGGGTTGTGTCTAAGCATCTTAGTTCATGTTGCACACTTTGTTGGGAATAACGCTGCTGCCTCCAGTTTTCCCAAACCCTGTTAGTTTACTCAGGCTTAAATTGTCTTCCATGCAGCCATGCCTGAAGGCACTGGCTCTGCCACCTTCCTCTCCTTGGACTTTCTTTGGGGTTTTTCTCACACAGCTTGGACTTGACAAATATCTAGTTCTGTTATTTCCGTGAAATATCACTGTGATGTATATCATATTGAAGTACTATCTTCAGTATTTTTTTGGTGACTAGAATTTATTAGAAAGCTGTCTAAAAATATTATTTGAGAAAATAACATGTTAAATTCTGGACTTTCTAAATAAATGTGACATCTCTCTAATATAAATTATCCAGAGAATGTTTTATCTTCAGCTCCAGAGCAGATCTTTCTAATATGGAACTCTAGACAAATTTTTAAGGTGTGTTATGCTTGAAGATTTAATAAATTCCTTTAAATAGTCAATTTTCAAACATGTTTTGACTGATAAGAATACTTCATAATAGAAACAACTAGAGCTATTTGAAGAATTCATATGCTCCAAATATATCTTTGATGAAGACCAGAGTTTTTAGGTTCAAGTATGTTTCTTTACATGAATCTTTATAATTTAACACATGTACTACCATTGTTAATTAGGACATGACTAGTTATTAATATTGTGTTAACATTTATAACATTGGTGTCTAAATAAATTGAATTAAATACTTAAAATTCATTTGTGCTGGATTTTGATTTGATGTTGGATTGCTTGATTGAATAGATAATCATTTTAATAACATAAACAAGTGAACAATTTTATTTGCTTATTTTAGGAAATGCTAAACAATAGGACTGATTTTTCTTTAGAGCCTTGGCTTTAGAAGATCCTCTGCATTTTAGATTTCTATTTTTTTTCTAAACTGATTTTACATGTGAGAATTCAAAACCTTGGTAGATTTGGAAACAGGATGTACATAAAAACAAAATATACACACAATAAAACTTAATAATCTTCTGTAACACCAGAGTGAGGCCAGACTGTAACTTAGATTTACCAAAAACATAGTAGTATAAGAATTTATCCTTGAGTGTCTCTGTGATAGTTGTCTCTAGAAACTGCCCTATGATGTATTAAGTATAATATTAATGTATGTATTAATGCAAGCTATCAGTAGTCTTGGATAGTTTTTATAATAGTAAAAATGGATACTTCTCATTAAATCCCATTGTTACAATATAAGTTTTTAAACTTCAGAGGGAAAACTACTTAAAATGAAATTTAGTCTAACCTTTCATTATATTTGGATGATTTACTAAATTTATTTAGAAAAGGGAACTTGCTACAATGGTAACTGATATCAAATGAAGTAACTCCTTACATGAATATTTTGAAATATTTCCAAAGCTATATTAACATTTTGGTCACTTTAGAAACGATTTATTAATCCATGTTAGCAACTTTTCCTGATAATTTTCTAAAATTTCTTTTAGTACAAAAAAAATTGAGCTATATTGATTTTCTAAAGACTCCAAATGCAGTTTTGCTATTTAATCCAGAATATAGTTTGAGAAATTATTATGATTATGTTCCTCAATTTTATGGACCTATGTATTATTTTTTAAGAATTTTATAGCATAAAAATATTTTCTGCATTCTGTAGGTAGTCTATTTGCTCTATTGATTGTTCCTTGATGGACATCATAAAATTTCACTCAAACTATACAAAAACAATTTATGTACGCAAATGTTCCCGTAATACTCTGAAATTAAAAAAAGAAATAATTTTAAAAGCATTCTATTAGTTTCTGCATATAATTCCTAAAAAAGACAAAACAAAAAAAACAGCATATTTATGGCCTGGTAGATTTCATACCCACATAGTGGTTTAATTTTTTTTCAAAGTCAGATCTGGTCATATATACAAATATTTCTGATCAAAACCTAATCAATTATAATGATTATTCTTGGGGACGAAATATATTCTGAGAGTCTTAAAACTAATAGTAATATGGTTAAAAGAGGCTTAATTCTACTTAAAGCTACTGTTTTAAACACGTCCATTTTTCATATCTTCTCCCTGAAGCTGTGCTAAGACAATAGTAAAGGAATAAAGCAACAACAATAAAAAAGACATATGTCAATAGGGATAGAGAATATGAAAGAATAGATGACAGAAAAACAATTCTGAAGAAAAAGAATTAGATTAAGGAGTGGTCACTGCCTTGGACACCAAAGAAAGCATAAATCAAGCCTGTCAGTGTGGAGAACAGGACTCGATGTACTCATGCTCTAGAACCCTTGAAAATCTCAGTAATTGGAGTCACCAGTTAGCTCTTAGAGTGAAGGTGTAGTTGAGTTGGAAAAGAAAAGAATTGGTCAAAACTCTGTGTAAAAGAGTTACACCAAATCTCCTTCTATGTTTCACATAGCTCAATGCTTAACCTCATTATCCCAAGTCTCTTGTCACCACCCCTCAAATACTAGAAATAAAATGTTTTGAGAAGCTGAACCAGAGAAACTTTGAACTAAGAAATCTGAAGTCATTTAAAAGAAAAGACAACCCACTCTAGTTCAACCAGAATTATTAAGTGAAAGTTTGCATACTAATCTCAGCCCCTTCTCACATCTGGTTCTGAGAATGCTGGTCATCTGGTTTAATGTCCTCTAAACATGAGATTGGAGGATTCCTCTCTAGGGAAACTGACAAACTCTAGAAAAAAAGGTTACAGATCCTGAAAACTAGGGATCTTGGTGGAACAGCTCAGCTAATAAATTGAAAATGAAACTTACTATTGATCAACAAAGCTACCAATAAGCTGTTTTATAACTGATTCTTAGATGTGAATGAACCAGCTGACTAGATATTTAGGAAAATCTTCTGAAAGAGAGAACTCAAGGCAAAGAAATGGGAAAAAGCATTCAGGAAATGAGAAAATGCTGAGAGCTAAGATAAAAAACAAAACATAATTATTGATATTTATAATTGGCACGCTCAGAAAAAAGTACATATTGTATTCATGTAACAAGA